AACTTCTGAAATTAATGAATGATTATAGCAAAGTTGCAGAATACAAAGTTAATATACAAAACTCCAATTATTTTCTAACATACCAGCAATAACCAAGAAGAATTTCAAATGAAAAACACAATACCACTTACATTAGCACCCCATTCAAAAAGAAATACTTACATATAAACAAAAAATATAGAATATATATGATAAAAATCCCAATAATCTGATGAAAGAAATCAAAAACAGAACTAAATAAGTGGAGAGATATTCCATATTCCTGGATAGGAAGATACAATACTGTTCAAGTTGAGGTTCTTCTTTGCTTGAGCTTCTTGATGTGTAAATGTGATGTAATCTCAATGAAAATCCTGGCAGGTTATTTTTGAATATTGGCAAGCTGACTCTAAAGTTTATATATAGAGGCAAAAAACCCAGAACCACTGAAATAATACTGAAAGAAAAGAACAAAGTCAGAGGTCTGACATTAGCTGACTTCAAGATTGACTATAAAGACCCAGTAATTAGGACAGGGTGGTATTGGTGAAGCAGCTGACAAATAAATCAATGGAACAAAATAGGGCCCAGAAATAGACCCACATAATTTTATCAATGGATCTTTGACAAAACAACACAATGGAGCAAAGATCCTTTTCAATAAATGATATTGGAATATATAGGCATACACATGCAAAGAATGTTTTTAGACATAGACCTTACATCCTACACAAAAATGAATTCAAATGAATCACAGACATAAATGTAAAAGGTAACTATGTAAAAAGTAACTAGCTTCCTAGAAGCTAACATAAGAGAAAGTCTAGATGACCTTGAGTATGGTGATAATTTTTTAGATACAACAAAGTCACAGTCCATGAAAGAAATATGTGATAACCTGGACTTCATTAAAACTTAAAACTTCTGCCCTGTGAAAAACAATGTCAAGAGAATGAGAAGACAAACTATAGGAGAAAATGTTTTCAAAAGACACATTTGATATAGCACTATTATCCAAAACATACAAAGAACTCTTAAACTCAACAACAAGAAAAGATTTTAAAAAGGGCTAAAGACCTGAACAGATACCTCATCAAAGAAGGTACACAGCTGGCAATAAAGGATATAAAAAGATGTCCCACAACATGTATCATCAGAGAAATGCAAATGAAGGCCACAAGGAGGTACGACTGCAGACTGCTCTGCCCAAACTGAGAGTAATGAAGACATGAAAGGCTGGCAAGTGTGTGGAGCAACAGGAATCCTCACTCACACGCAGAATGGCACAGCCACTTTGGAAGACAATGGGCCATGTTTTATAAAACTAAACATACCTTGACCATCCACTCCTTGGCATTTATTCACACCGAATGAAAACATGTCCACACAAAAGTCTGCACACAGACACTCACAGCAGCTTTATTCTTAACTGTCAAACCTTGAAGACAATCAAGATGTCCTTCAGTTGGCGAGTGGATAATTGTGCTATAGCCAGACAATGGATTATTGTTCAGCACACAGAGAGACACACAGCCTCTCTCTCTCTCTCTCTTTCTCTCTCTCTCTCTCTCTCTCACACACACACACACACACAACACACACACACACACACACACACACACCTGGTATCAAGCCATGAAAAGAAGCTTAATGTGGCCGGCGCCGCGGCTCAATAGGCTAATCCTCCACCTTGCACACTGGGTTCTAATCCCGGTCGGGGCGCCTGATTCTGTCCCGGTTGCCCCTCTTCCAGGCCAGCTCTCTGCTGTGGCCCGGGAGTGCAGTGGAGGATGGCCCAAGTGCTTGGGCCCTGCACCCCATGAGAGACCAGGAGAAGCACCTGGTTCCTGGCTTCGGATCAATGCGATGCACCGGCCGCAGTGCGCCAGCCGCAGCGGCCATTGGAGGGTGAACCAATGGCAAAAGGAAGACCTTTCTCTCTGTCTCTCTCTCTCACTGTCCACTCTGCCTGCCAAAAAAAAAAAAAAAAAGAAGACGCTTAATGCATATTGCTAAGCGAAAAAAAGCCATTCTAAAAAGGCTACATGCTATATGGTTCCAATTAGAGGACATTCTGGAAGAGGCAAAATCATGGAGACAGAAACAAGGGGCTGCCACAGGTTGGTGGGGAGCAAGTGATGAATAATCTGAGTGCAGAGAATTTTTAGGGCCGTGAAACTCTTCTGTAAGATTCTACACGTTACTTTACGATTGTCCAAATCCATAGGAATGCACAATAGCAAGAGTGAAATGGGCAGGTTTTGTAGTTTCTAAGATGCTGCTTGGAATGCCCATCTTCCACATTGGAGTGCCTGGGTTCAGTCTCAGCTCTGCTTCTGAATTCAGTTCCCTGCTAAGGCACACCCTGGCGAGCAGAGGTGATGGCTCCCGTTCGTGGGCCCCTGACGCTCATGTGAGAGACCCAGACTGAGTTCTGGGCTTCTGCCTTCAACCTGGTCCAGCTCCATCTGTTGTTGGTATTTGAGAAGTCAACCAGTGGATGAAAGGGCTCTCTCCTTTCTCTTCTCTCTCTAATGAGTAATAAATTAAAATAAAAAATGAACCCAAATGCAATTATGGACTCTGATTATAATGATGTGTCAATACAGACTTATCACTTTCTATTTATTTATTTTTATTTGACAGATAGAGTTAGACAATGAGAGAGAGAGAGAGAGAGAGAAAGATCTTCCTTCTGTTGGTTCACTCCCCAAATGGCCTCTACGGCCGGCTCGGCGCCGATCCAAAACCAGGAGCCAGGTGCTTCCTCCTGGTCTCCCATGCGGGTGCAGGGCCCAAGCACTTGGGCCATCCTCCACTCAGGCTCATCACTTTCAACAAATGTGCTACTCTGGACAGAGAGGGAGATGTGGACAACAGGGAGGCTGTGCGCGTGTGGGGGCCAGGAGTACGGAAGAACTTCCTGTATCTTCTCAAATTTGTTACAAAGCTGAAGCACTCTAAGAAGCAGTCTTCAATAAAACGTAAAAATAAAGGAGTACTGATCTCTCTGAGATTACCAAGACAGAGGCATAGGCCTTGGTCCTAGTTGATGGCATCCTCACTTTGCCAGGGCTGGCGCTGTGGTGTAGCAGGTAAAGCCGCCACCTGCTGTGCTGGCATCCCATATGGGCAACGGCTCGAATCCCAGATGTTCCACTTCCGACCTAGTTCTCTGCTGTGGCCTGGGGAAGCAGTAGAAGATGGCCCAAGTCCTTGGGCCCTTGCACCCACGTGGGAGACCCAGAAGAAGCTCCTGGCTGCTGGCTTCAGATCAGTGCAGCTCTGCCATTGTTGCCATTTGGGGAGTCAACTAGCAGATGGAAGACCCTCCCCCTGCCTCTCTGTAACTCTGCCTTTCAAATAAATAGTTTTAAAAAATAAATAAAACACAACAGCAAAACTCTTTATCCTTGTGAGACTTCTGCTAGAGTGAGAAAAACAGATGAAGAAAAAAAGTAAGGAAATAGAAACGAACACAATTGCTCCCTTCCGACCAAGGATGTACAGGTGGAAGTCTGGACGTCTCTGAATTGTGAAGTGTGTCTTTAAGGAATCCACGAAAGTATATCATCAATTTTCTCTGTATAACAACTAAGACAATCAAAAGGCACCAAATGTTTCTCTGCTAAACTGCTGAAAGTTTACTCCAGACAATGCAAGCTTTACAAAGTGGATTCCAGCATTGTGATGTAGCCACCCTTACTTACAAATCAGGTAATGAGTGGGTATAGGGACTCCTCTTCTATAAAAATATCACACTGGTGGGACTTTAATCAGTTCCAACAGTGTCATCTAGTTTTGTGCCAGTGCAATTGTCCTGGAAAGTGCAAATTTTCCATTTTAATCGGCGTTCACCTAAAACACTGGGTTTGCTTCTAATTCGTTAACGTGAACACTCCAGACTATGTCCCGGTTTCAGTAAACTTGTGGGTTCTTTTCCTCCTGTATTCTAATGTATTGTTAGTTTCATGACCTGACCGGCTCACAGACACAGGTGTGTGTGTACTGTGCCTCTGTCACAACCCACACAGGGCAGCCAGAGCAGAGCGAGAGCCATTTAGGAAGGAGTAATGGGCTCAGTGAGTGCCTTGCTCTCGGGAGGCAGATTCTGCCCCAGGTGGTATTGACAAAGAGAAAAATTGATTCACTGAAGACTCCTGCTTCAACCCCGGTGAGCTCACCTCGGACACAGCCTGCTACCTCCTGCTTAGGAGTCTTCAAGATCAGTGGGTGGCCTTCGCGTCCCTGCAACCCAGTTCTGGGATGGGGCTTCCAGGAGGACGGAACTGCCCTCTGCCTGCTCCAGCGCAGAAATGTGCTCCCAGAACTTGGAGAAACAAGAAAATGATGTGCTCTGGGCGTTTTTAATCTCTATTTTAATGTCTCTGACAATCTCGTGGTTAATTAGCAATTTGCTGCTCACCAATATGCAAACAAATGACAAGCACAGGTTCTCCGCATCGGTAATTATTTTGCTGATTTACAAGCCACTGTCTTCTCTGTGTAGGTTTTTCTCTGTGTGTGCACTCATGCATCAGGGATTGCATTATTTTTAGACGCATTCGCTGCATCTTTATGCTCTAATACTTCCAGACTTCAGTAATTACAGTATTTTGAAAATTACATCTATATACATAGATATGCATTTTCCCCTCAACTCCAAATGCATTTGTCAGGGGTTCTTTTCTTTGCTAAAAGAGCGGGGAGTAAGATTTATCAAGGGGCTGTAATCCAAACTGCAGAGAGTCAGCGCAAGATTGAAAGATACACATTTCTGCTGCTGCCAAACCCTTATCTGGAATCGGAGTCTTGTAATATTTGATTTTCTCCCAAGCAGCTCTGGTGAGCCGAGCCACGGTCTGCGTTATCCATCTGCCTACTTTGGAGCAGAGTGTTTTACTATTTGGCTTTACTTTTTTTTTTTTTTTTTTTTTTTTTTTGCCAAGGTATTAAGGAAAGCTCTCATGTTAAATTAAGTCAATTAATAAATGGAGACACATTAAGCAATCAATTTTGTCAGCCTATCTCCCCGGCATTATGTATGGTTGGCTGTAATCACAAGATAAATGCAATGTGCTGATCTATGGTAATGTTCAATAATACATTCTCCGCCAGGCTCAATTCATCAGGGAGTTTCGGTAGGAGAGGCATTCGTTATTGGCTGTCTCTGCACCTCAAGGATAACATTCCTGTCCTTTTGATTGGCTGCCTCACTGCTGCAAGATTCCAACCGTCTTATTTTGATGATGAATATGAAGGCACGCTAAGCCGGGCTGGAGCGGAGTGTCTGTGAGGCTGCGCTCTTTCCACAGCCCGAGGACTTGCAGCTGCCTGCTCTGCTCTCCCGGGCCAACAACCCCCCCCAAAAAAAGTTGTGATGCTTTTCTTCACCCAGTGCTTTGGGGCTGTGTTAGATCTCATTCACCTCCGGTTTCAGCACTACAAGGCTAAGCGGGTTTTCTCCGCCGCCGGGCAACTTGTCTGCGTTGTCAACCCCACGCACAACCTAAAGGTGAGTCTCGCGCTCTCTGCCGGTGCACGTCGCCCCCTCCCCACCCCCACCCCCCGCCCGCCCGGCTCTGCTCGGCTCAGGGTCGCGTCTTTTCTTGTGGGTGGGCGCGGAGGTGGGGGGCGTCCGAGTTCCTCCCTCCTGCACGTGCCGGGAGCTCTTTGCAAAAAAAAAAAAAAAAAAAAAAGCCCTCTTTCCTGGTGCTAGGACCCGGTTTGCCTCTGCTGGTTCTTGCTCCCTAGGTGGCTCTGTGCTGGTAGCGACAGCGCGGTGTTGTCCTGACTGGCAAGCGAAACTGGAGTCGTGGTTCATGTTTCTTCCCCCACGCTGGTCAGCCTGAGTCGGGTGGGGGGCAGAAGCGAGGGTGGTGGCGGTATGTGGGGAGGTGTCCCTATCTCTCGCCCAAGTATTTGTGTGCAAGCGCTCAGGAGACGGGATTTTAAAAGTTAACCCACATTGGTGCCCGTCCCGTGTATCTGGAAAGGCAGGGAAGCACGAGGATTTTGGAAGCCCCTTCTGGCTACCCCTGGAGGCACCTGCAGGGTTACACACGGAGATAGGGATCCGGGGGCTGGCGCCTTCTGCAAAGTGTGTGTGTCCTTGTCCCCAAGCCTGGCTGTGTGTGTTGTCGGGAGGAGCTTGGCTGGCTTCCTTCCTGCTAGCTAGCTGAGCGCCTTGCACTGAGGACGCCTGGGGGAGGAAGGCTCGGCTTCCTTCGTAGACTAAGGGGAAGCGGCTCCCAGGAGCCCGGTGAGCAGCTGGGTGCTGAGCTGCCCGTGCGGCTGCCTGACTGCCCCGCTGGAGTCGTCGCCTCTGCATTTGTGCATCTGTGCACTGCCCTTTAGGAGAGCAGCCCGAAAATGAGGTGCCGGAAGGATCGCTCCTCCTCCTATAACCGCCAAGACTATGGGGAAATGAATGAAAAGCCACTGGGGGAGGGGTGGCGGGGGCGCCCGCAGCAGCTGCACTCCCCAGCGGTGAAACTCGGGGCTATCTTGCTGGGTCCTGGGATCAAAGGCGGACTTGGGAGTTTCTTAAGAGGTCAGATCTGTCATTCTGAGAATTGCCCTTGGGTAGAAAAAGTGCGGCTTGTTGCTTATCACTTTATAAACTCCCAACAGTCAGACTGGTGCCCCCTGGCCATCCCTGGAAATCCCCCTGGAAGGACAGCCACCTGGAGCCCTGGGGGCCATAAACCAGGGCGATTCCTGAGTGGAGCCGCCAGTGGACTGTTCTGGGGCAGCCCTGGTGCACCTGACCTAGGAACTGTGGCTCCCAGGCTGGGACCAATACCATCTGACACATGCATTTGTGCTTGCCCTGGCTTGCTCACTTTTTCCTCTTGTTCCCCTATTTCTTTTTTTTTCCCCTTTGTGGCTTAGTTTTATAAATGATAATTCACTCTCAGCCATTCTTGGCAAAGCAAGTGCATAGTATGCATATTAAAATAGAATTCTGAATTCCATTTTAGAGCCACTTTTGGGACTGCATTCAAACTCCCATTATTTTGTCACTTTACATTAGTTAAGTTCCCTGCGGCAAGAATTTTTGTTTACTCCTGTTTTGCATTTTAATACCTTCTAAGATTGTTCGTGAGACTTAGCCTCTCCAAAGTTTGGATTTCTCTGGTTCATTGACCGCGGCTGATGGTGGGAAGAGATGCTGCGGTCTTGTGTGCGGTGGAGAGAGCCATCTGTGTTGTCTGCCTGGATACGGACAAGTGGTCCTGCCGCTGGGAGTCACGGGTGGAGGCCCCGAGTCAGCTCCGGCTGGCTGTGTGACCTCTATCTAGCCATACACCGTCGCCGAGTCTCCCCCTCTCTTCTCCGCCTGCACCGTGGACTTAAAAAGGCCGGTCCCGACTCCTCCATACCTTTGTGAGGCTGACAAGGGATACTAGAAGTGGGTGTGCTGTAGCTTACTCTCCTCTAAAAATAATGTGTGCTTTTCCAGATGATTTATGGGGTTCCAATAGGAACTCCAAAAGTTGTCACTGCAAGCCTGCAGGCAACTTCGAAATAATATAGGCAGTAACATCAAAATTGGTGGCATGTGCTTTGAGAGGCTATTTTCTGTGGCTCACCCTTTCACATACCATCTCACTCGGTTTTTCATTTCCCGTTACCAAAAAATAAATAAGTAACATAACCACTTGGAGGCTTTGCTCACTACAGGTAAACACAGCAAGGGAAGGACTGCTAGGGCATGGAACTAGGCACGCTATTCAGAGGACTGCTCCAACCAAGAAGAGACCCCTGCACCCCAGGGTGCCCCTGTGGGGGTCTTCACAAGGGCCCAGGTCCAGGTGGCCCGTTGAGCAAGCTTATATGAAGAAGAGCATCAAAGTTCAAAAGCAAGTTCTCTTTCTAAACATTCATTTCCATAAATAGACCAAAATATGCCTTGGATATAATAAGCATCTGATTTATCTAGGAGAAAAATATCCTTAAAAAAAAAAAAAATCCTGTGGCAATGTCCACCCAGAGTAGCTATTGATCTGTGCTACTCCCCTACACTGTGTGGCAGCTGAGCACGCTGAGAAGGGACTGAGGCTAGAGAGACTGCAACCTGGCTTTCCATCTTCCAAGTCCCAAAGGCCCAGGAGGGTCTGTGTGCTCCTGTTTTGCACATTATCCTCCCAGGCTTGTCCCAGGAATTCCGCCAGCATTTCAGGGGCTGAGGCAAGGGCTGAGTTATAACCAAGCAGACAAACTCGTGTGTGTTTACCGCACTTCTGTAGGTCACCTTCAATCTCAATCTTATTACGGTGATTACTCAGTAACCTGGGATCCCTTCAAGCAAGCTGCTGCCTTTCCTTCTAAATGGACAGCAGAAACTTGCTAGGGACTGCAGATAATCTGGTTAAGGCCAGCACACCCCTTAAAGTGCTCTTGAATTAAAAGGGACATTTGGAATAACTAGCCTTGAACACAAGACCAGCATCAAGTGAGTACCAAGCTGTGGGATGCAGATGCGACTCTGAGTTTCCTGGTATGTGTGTGTCTTGTCTGTAGGGATGGCTCCTTGCACAGTTTAGGGTTCAAAAGGAACACACACACACACACACACACACACACACACCCCGAGCTTTCCTTACCCCATGACAAGTGACCAGCAAGGAACCCATTTGCTTGGCAGCTGCCGGCACCCCTTCATTCCCAGAGGTGGTGGCAGCATGGCCCACAGGCTGCAGGGGGCGCTGGTGAGGGCCCTTGCTCCTGGTCCTGATTCAGCATCCCTGTCTCCCCATCGCCCTTTGCTTGGTTCCAAACCAAGAAAGCCTTTGTCTCCTGGCTCCTGTCCCATCCACACTCTTTGCTTCTGCAATGCCCTGCCTTCTGAAGGGTGGGACAGCCAGGCCCTGCACCAAAGCTGCTCCAGCAGTGCAGGCTGGGGCCCCTCTGGGGTCGGGCCTCAGTTTTCCCAAGCAGCTAAATGGAGGCTGGCTGAGTGACTTCCTCCTGTTAACCACAGCCTTTGCTAAACACGTTTCTGGGAGACTAGCAAAAGATTCTCTGGCAAACTTCCCAAAGGCCCTCCTTGATCCTTCTACCCTGCGCCAGCGCTGAGACCCCCACGCCCTCCTGGGCCTAGGAACTGAAGTGTTCTTACCTCTCCAGGGAAGGGAGGCTGTTCCTGCCTCCCTCAGCTGGTCCCTGCAGCTCCTCCGTGTTGTAAGCCATTAACCTTGGGTTTGCAGACAGGAGCATGCCCGCACGCACACACACACACACACACGCACATGCATGCACACACGTGTGTGGACACACTGGATGGGAGGGGCAGATGGGGCAATGATGGCTTTAACTCAAGTGGCTGCTAGATACAGATTGAAAACTGGAGCATTTCTGGGCTAGTCCTCGAAGCATCATGCCCCGGACCTCCTCAGACCAGTTTCAATGAATGTGTGCTGAGTTGCAGATGGGATGTAGGGTGGGGAGCCTTGGGGAGGAGGAGATAGAGGAGAGACAGGGAGAGAGCTGTAAGCCTCTGTGGTTCCCGGTTCCAGGGGCTCATCTTTGGAAATCCCCCCCCACCCCCACTCCAGTGGTGGGTGTGCTTGCTAACCCTGCTTGACACAGCACAGCAGGTGGCTGAATGAGAGCTAAAGACCTGACCATTGTTTCCAGAGATTTAGCCGGTGGCCTTTGGAGTGCTCTGCGTGAATACCTACTTTAAAGTAGTTGAAGGTTTCTTAATAGCCAGGACATGGGTGACTCAGTTCTTCTCCGCTCTGCCCCCTCCGAGGGTCGAGGGTCCATTCCCTTTCTCTGCCCTTTTCTCTGTCTGGAGCCACTTCCCGGCTCACTGGCTCACTAGCAGCTGGCTCGGAGGGGCCGGGGAGAGGGTGAGGGGGAGACCTGCAGCTGGGGCTTTCATTCTGCCAGCTTTATTCTAAAAAAGCTCCGCAGCCCCCTCTCGCCCTTGGGTTTCTGTAAATATTCTATGACACTCCACCGTACGGGCACCGAGCGGTCGCGCGGCTTCTCTGGTTAATGGTGATTGCAAATGAGGCTCCCGAGTCCCATAACAGAGAGCCCCAGAGCCCCGAGCAGTGATTTGGTTAGCTGCGTGCCGGTGGCGGAGCTGCAGAGCAGGCTGAAGCCGGTGGCGGGGAGGAGGTGAGCCGATTACCTCCCTACTGCATTAATCCAGCAGTGCCAAAGCCAATCTTGTGGAGTTCCCTTCACCATGATCCATCAGCCTGCAGGGACTGTTTGGGGGGAAATTAGAAAACCGATCCTGAACGCTTTCTCTGAAATCCACAGAGAGGTCAGGGTTATTTGGATAGCTGCCCGGGGGTAAGACAGCATTTTTTTTTTTCTGGCAATTAGCAATAGGGAAAAAAAGCAACTGTCGGTGAAGTTATTTTACCCTGAGAAGTCCTCTTGGCCCAATCCGTTCTGTGCCCCATATTGAAGTGACGGTGATCTGTTGAGACACAGGTGTCCCGTGGAAGGGGTCGACCTGGACAATGCAGAGCTACACTCCCACGGGGTCTG